CCGGAAGACAGCTTTCACGGCCGCTTCTCCCCCCAAAGCTACTTCATTTGGTCCTCACAGCAACCATATGAGGTAGGTGCTATGATTATTCCCTCCCACCTCACCACCTCCCAAAAAGAGAAATAGATCAAATAATGATCAAGTAATTCAAAGAGAAACAACAGATAGCTCTTCTATCTAGCCCAGGATGGTGCAAAAAGACAACTCCCAGAGTCTGGAGGCTCTGGGAGAGGGCTCCTGCCGGATAGACCAGCACAAACTGGATTAAATGGAGCTTTAATCTCCCCGTGCTGCAACCAAGGATGCTCTAGCGCAAATTCTTAACTTGGGGTCTGTGAATGTTTTTTCAATGTTTTGATAACTCTCTATGTAGAGTTATACAGCCTGGGCAGAGGTAATGAGACAGGAGATATGACTGTTACGTGTGGGAAATTAACAAGCAACACCACACACATTAAGTGCTTACCATGCGCTAGGCACTGTGCTAAGAGATTGCAATGTGAATTTAAGCAAAAAGGAAGACAGTTCTTGCCCTCAAGAAGCTTACTTTCTAATGAAGATGAAAAACAACTAAAAGGCCAGTTTGGCTGGATCATGGTGTGGTTGAAAGGGAGTAGTATAAAATAAAGCAGGAGAGGGGCGTTTCAGCTAGGTTGTGAATATGCCGATCATCCTGAAAGGAAGGACAGTCCAGTGGAAAGAGTCTTAGTTTTGGAGGCACAGTGCCTGGCTTCAAATCTCTCTTCTAGACCTTACTACCTGTGTGATTGGACAAGTTATTCAACATCCCCAGGCCTCAGTTTCCTCATCCGTAAAACGAAGGAGTCAGACAAAAAACCTTCCAGCTCGAGATCTACGAGCCTATGGTCATTGACCTTTAGGCTCTGCCAGCCACACAGTTCCTCAGGCATCCATCCATTCAGGCCCCTGAAAGACAGAACAGCACACGTGAAAGTTAAGGGAAACTTAGCTCTGGACACAATTACAGGCTTGGTCCAAGTGGTCACACAGGATAGGGCTAACTCTGAGTTATCCTAAAGGTCTTTAGAACCTCTTTCCAAATTCAATCAGACACCTTTCATATGCAGCAATTCATATGAAGTTGCTAGAATTCCTTCAGTGGCAGAATTCCAATCCCTTCTGTCTGCCTCTGGGAGAAGGGCCCTAGTCTGTGATGAAACCGCCAAGGACACCCTCCAACCCAAGGTTCCCAAGATTATTCTTGGGCCCATTCCACTGCCACTGTTCAACAGGTCAAGGGGTTCTCGCCAGACCATGACCTTGGGTCCATGGTCCACTGCTTTTCTTATCTTTCATGGCCCCTAGTGGCAGCAAATCATTTAACTATAAATCTCCCAGGCAGCTGTTCAGAGTTATTTGAATCTAAATGTATTATTTAAATTTGAATTTTGGTTAAATCTAAATTTATTTGCATGTGTATTATACATGTTACATATTTACTTTAAGCCGCCTTAATTTTAGTATGAAAAACCCAAGGGAGTCAGGTTTTCTGTGCATATTTCAGTTTTTCAGATTCGAAGATCTTACTTGACATAATAGGGAAGCAACTGGGTTTGGGTTTTCACTGAGTTTGGAACCAAAGCATTCCAAATGGTTTTTTGGGGTGGTTGTTGGGGCAGTAGGGACAAGCTGGGAGTCATTCTCATCTCAGGCTTGCATGGATCACCTGGGCCCTGGGAAGTGTCTAGTATTTAACCTTAAGCTGGAGAAAACCTTCACAAAGTAAACACCACCTGAGCTCAAACCCCAAGTCCACTTGGCAGTCAGTCAGCCAATGAGCATCTAGTAACCTCACTCTATGCCAGGCACTGTACTAAGCATGAGTATATCAGAAGAAGAAGAAGAAGAAGAAGAAGAAGAAGAAGAAGAAGAAGAAGAAGAAGAAGAAGAAGAAGAAGAAGAAGAAGAAGGAGAAGGAGAAGGAGAAGGAGGAGGAGGAGAAGGAGAAGGAGAAGGAGAAGGAGAAGGAGAAGGAGAAGGAGAAGGAGAAGGAGAAGGAGAAGGAGAAGGAGAAGGAGAAGGAGAAGGAGAAGGAGAAGGAGAAGGAGAAGGAGAAGCAGGAGAAGAAAAGAAAAGAACAAGAAATAGAGAAAAAGAAAGAAAAACAGTCTCTACCCTAGAGATTTCACATTCTAAATTAAGTACAAAAAAAGCAACACTACAACATTTCAATTTAATTTAAATCAGCTGAAATGGAAACCCCACTATTCTGCAATATATGAACTGTATTCTATACAATTCAATCAGACCAGAATTTATTAAGCACTTACTGAGCAAAATTTGGGGCATCTAGGTGGGCACTGAAGAGAAAACAAGGCTTAGAATCAGGAAGACTCATCTTCCTGAGTTCAAATCTGACCTCAGACACTTACTAGCTGTGTGACCCTGGACAAGTCACTTAACCCTGTTTGCCTCAGTTTCATTATCTGTAAAATGAGCTGGAGAAAGAAATGGCAAACCACTCCAGTATCTCTGCAAAGAAAACCCCAAAATGGTATCACAAAGAGTAACCTGACTGAAAAATGACCGAACAAAATGCAAAATTTAAAAAAAAATTTAAACATACAACTTAATAATCTCTGCACTCGGGGAACTCACATTCATCTAACAGAACTTAGTTTGACTAATTGATGAGGCATTCATTTCTGCTACTAAAATTTACTAAAGATGAGAGGGGGTGGTGAATAAGTGAAATATAGCAAGATATAGCAGTTTCCAGCAGAGCCAGGTCAATGCTGAAAGGCACACCAAGACTTGCTTCCCAGCCATTGTCTAAGAGTGCCGGTGCTCCCTTAGTTGCTAGTAGATTCTGCTCATCGTTGCATCCAATTGGATGAAAAGGAGACTTGGAGGGAGCGCAGTCTAAGCTATCCCACATCAGAAGGTACGCTCATGAGCCGGACAACTGGAGTGACAGGGCACCTCCCACCACTGACTAGCAGCACGTTTCCCATTGCTCTTCACCTCCTAGCAGCCCTCTAGATGGGCATCTGCTCCAGGGACACGGCAATTGGCGGGTTCGAAAGACAGGATCATTCCTTTGGCTCTTGCTGGCTGAGCATCTTTAACCTTATTTCCTCCGTAAAATTCTCCTATCTAATAATGACCGCCTTCCAGAACTATTGATTTGATTGTGATCCTGTTAAACTCCAACACCCTCTCCCAGCTCCCAGGGCTAACAAAAGTCCTGGTTTACAAGGAGCAGACTCCCAGAACCAGTTCCTTGGGGATAGGAACAGGAAGAGACAGTGTGAGAATAGTCATGGCAACCAGGGGCCTTTGTGTGTGTGTGTGTGTGTGTGTGCGTGTGTGTGTGTGTGTGTGTGTGTGTCTCTTTGTTTCTCTGTCTCTGTCTGTCTCTGTCTCTTTCTCTCTGTGTGTGTCTCTCTGTCTGTCTGTCTCTGTGTGTGTCTCTCTCTCCCACTCCCTCTGTCTCTCTCTCTCCCTCTCTCTCTGTCTCTGTTTCTGTGTGTCTCTCTCTGTCTCTCTCTTTGTCTCTGTCTCTCCCTCCTTCCCTCCTTCCCTTCCTCTCTCTGTCTCTCTATCTTTCTCTTTCTGTCTCTCTGTCTCTCTCTGTCTCTTTGTGTCTCCCTCTCTCCTGTTTTTTTTAAATGATCCCATGCCAACAAACCATAATCACTCTTTATTGTTTCAGTCCCTTGAACCCAGGACCCAGAAAGCTTTGAGTCCTAACTCTGCCATTCCCCACCTATGTGACCTTAAGCAAGTCACTCCTCACTGTAAAATGGGGCTAATCATAGCACCCACCTCATAGGGCTGTTGTGAGGACCAAATGAGATAGCATAGGCAAAGTGCTCTTAAAGCTCTCTATGTATGCTAGCTGTTAACATTATATGTCAGTTGACTGGACTCCTGTATGATCTTTCACATTAACTAGAAGATAGGAGGCCTGTAATAAATGCTTGATGGATTGACTGATGTGTCCTTGTGTCCTTTTGGTGTATAGCGTTGGTGATCAAGGAACCCTGTGACTGGATTTAAGGTGTGTGCAGGTGTGTATTAGGTAAATTGCTTAAGATCTAGAATTGGGTGTACTTATGAATAACCAGATTTTTTTTAATTGGAAAAAAAAATGAGGGTCAGCTAGGTGGCGCAGTGGATAGAGCACTGACTCTAGAATCAGGAGGACCTGAGTTCAAATCAGACCTCAGACACTTGATACTTACTAGCTGTGTGACCCTGGGCAAATCACTTAACCCCATTGCCTAGCTGACAGAAAGAAAGAAAGAAAGAGAGAAAGAGAGAAAGAAAGAAAGAAAGAAAGAGAGAGAGAGAGAGAAAGAAAGAAAGAAAGAAAGAAAGAAAGAAAGAAAGAAAGAAAGAAAGAAAGAAAGAAAGAAAGAAAGAAAGAAAGAAAGAAAGAAAGAAAAGAAAGAAAGAAAAGAAAAGAAAATCAGGCTCTAAATGAGCTCCACACAGGTGCGGTGATGCTTCTCTGAGTGATTGACCCAAAATCTGCAAAGAATTTGATCAGCTCTTCTTTCCAAAGCTTGATGTCACATGACATGGATGAAGCAATATTGTAGTCATCCATTGACATTTTCCTAGACTCACCCTTTTCAAGTCCTGTACAAATTGAGACTTCTTCTCTTTGAAATTAGCATGATTTTCTTAAATTCCTCCTCTTTGCTTTTCACTAAAGAAAGTTTTGAGTCTGTTTCGTAAGATGGTTTCTGGGCTATTTGATTGCTTTCAGACACACTATCAGTCCAGGCTGCAGGGCAGTATTTATTCTATTAGGTCCCGATTTGCCCCCAGATTTCAGTCAATGTTTTCTCACCTCCACCCAAAAGTGCTGTACAGTAGTTGCTGGCTTGTCTTTAGCATGGCTGTACCTGAAATTAAATGCTACACTCACCAGTTAGTGGGCCAGGAGGGACTTAGTCTATAACACACTTAACAGAAGAGAAAATTGAGAGCCATGAGAATGCTTAACCTAAAGAATCTATCTAGCTATCTTGCTTGGCAGCACATATACTGAAATTGGAATGGCACAGAGAAAATTAACATAGCCCCTGTGCAAGAATGACACAAAGATTTGTGGAAAGTTCCAAATATTTTCCCAAAAAAATAATTATGAAACATGCTATCTACCTCAGATAGAGAACTGATGGACCCAGAGTATAAATTGAAGCACTTTTTCTCTTTCTTTTTCATCTTCCCTCTCTCCCTCCCTCTCTCCCTCCTTCCTTAAGTCCACAATTGACTCCTCTCTGCTCTAAAAGGCCATGATCCTTGAAGCTACTTTCTTCTTCCAGTGATTGTCTCTTTATATCTCTGTCCAGAATGCAAAAAGTTTTGCAAAATTAATTGACGGGAAAAAAAATCTAATGTAATAGGGTAACATCAAAGAAGTAAAGGGTGGGGAAGCTGTCTCTTCTTCTTTGGAGTCAAGTTTGGCCATTTAAATTTTGAAGCATTCAATTTTGATTATTTTGTTGTTGTTTTTTCCACTTATGTTATTGCCATATGATTGTTAATAGCTTGCAATTTTTCTTTTGAGAACTCTTTGTTCATGTCTTTTAACCAAGTCTACTCTTTGTTTAAAGGTCAGGCATTGCTGGCCTCCCACTAGCCCTGTGAACTGCCTATGGGGCTCTGAGAATGGACGGGAAGTCCTTGTGGCTGATGACAGAACTCAGACTCCTTCGAAGGCAATCTCTCTTAGTCTGCCTCTCCCCTCCCCTTTACTTTTTGCAGGAAACCCTTGAAAAGGATCTTCCATTTAGTGGCCTGACTTGCCACAGACAATGGGATATGTAGCACTCTACATACACCTAATCCATGTATGACTCCCTCATCAGTAATGGAATGTTTGTTTTCTGCTAATACAAGGATGGTAATAGGAGCAGCTAGGTGGTGCAGTGGATAGAGCACTGGCCCTGAAGTCAGGAGGACCTGAGTTCAAATTTGGCCTCAGACCGAACACTGGACATTTACTAGCTGTATGACCCTTGGCAAGTCACTTAACCTCAATTGCCTAAAAAAGGATGGTAATTTAAGAATGCCTCAAAGGACCAAGCTGCATCAATGGACATAGAGTATTTTTTTTTATCAACATGACCGAGAAAACAGAGATAGTAGGTTGAAAACTATTATTTCAAAGTAAAATTATATTTTACAATTGGTGTGCTTGTTCCTTCTAGTGTTAAAATATATTCAATTTCATTTTTTAAATGTTTTAGGGGCTCACTCTACTAGCATCTGCCATTTATTTTCTCAAAGAAAAGATTTATGAAATATAGATGTGAAGATTTTATGCAATCTACAAGTCAATGTCCTCCTTCATTCTTTATTCTTGACCTATATTTTCCAGTATATTTCTTGCCCTTCTCACCTATTTCCATATTTGAGGTGAAGTCACCAAATATCACAGTTTATGTTGATTTCATTGGGAGGGTCTCATACACTTCATCATAGACTTTCTCTTCCTCTTTATCCTCTGAAACAAATGGTTCATTGGCTACAGTTGTTTTCCTGGGGGATCTTTTGGAAAATACTCATGAGCATCACAAAAAGAGAAGTACAAATGTTCCATGAAATGATATTTCTTGTTGCTTTTGGACACAATAAAACCAGCTCCACCAATTCCTTTATCTGTCTCTCCAAAGAGAATTTAAGAGCCATCCTTCCATTTTACCACAATGTCCTTCTTTCTTCTAGTTTCATCTATAATGAGAAAGTCAAAGTCGATACAGTTTAGTAGCTCCAATGATGTATCTACGTGGCAATCACTCAATAAGTCTATCACATTTAGGAAACTAATGACTAAGTTTAAGATTACGGAGAGAGTGTCTAAAAACTGTAGTTCTCTGCACCCAGTGCCACCTTTTCTTCCATTTTACAACCATCACCGAAAAAGTGGAAAGGAATCACATAGAGTTGAATTGCATTTTGGATTTTTCTTTGTTTCATGAGTTCCCATGACCAAAGAATTCTTTACTGTCAGGTCAACCTACTCCATACTTATCTAAACTCATCCTCAAAATGTAGACCCAATCTATAGTCAAGATCACACTTGAAGCCTTTCAACATGGTAGACCCCAGTCAGAGTTTATACTCAACTGGCATTGCCTTTAAGAACTCAAGGTCACCTCCATGCCCTGATGGGGTACCCAACCAGGACTTTGCGTTCTTTCAACAAAGAACATACCGGAAATTTTTCAGTAATAATCTGTTTTATAATCAGGACTTTCTTAACCTAGTCCTTAGAACACTAGGTCCTTTCTGGTTAAGTTCTAGATACGCTTTCCTTGGTTCCAGAAACCCAACAACCTGAATCCCACGTTCAGAACTCCCCTTTCTGGATTCTCTACTCACAAGCTTCTGAATGGCTCTCAAATTCAGAGTGGATAACTCCCTTCTGAATAATGCCTAAACTAGAGGTTCTTAATATGCAGTCCATACCCTTTTCCATATTTTTATAACTGCATTTCAATATAATTTATTTTATAATTCTGTGTTATTTTATAAATTTAAAAACATTATTCTAAGAAGGGATCCATAGGCTCCAACAGATTGCCAAAAGGGTCCATGACACCTTAAAACAAGATAAAGAACCCCTGGCCTAGATGGTCTTATAATGCTGTCAAAATAAGCTTGTTCCTGATGGGGCCCATCATAGTTTTGTTCCTGAAGCAAGTAGGATGGGTCTAATGGAGATAGTGATGGACCTGTAGTCAGGGGTCCCAGGTTCAAATCCCAGCTCTGATATTTATTAGCTATTGATTATTGCTAGGTCACTTAATCTCACTGATCTCCTGTATCTCTCTTATGTATATTAGAATAGCACTTCTCAGTATTCTTGGTCTCAGAAAGCTTTTGCACTCTTAAGAATTATTAAGCACCTCCAAAGAGCTTTTGTTTATATCCATCAATATTTACTGTATTAGAAATTAGAACTAATAGCATTTTAAAATATTTATCAGTTAATTTTTAAATTGCCATAATAAGCCTAATATAATAATGTAGTATTATGTAATATTATTATACACAATAATATAATAAGCACAATAACCTAATATGTTAATATAAATATTCTTTTTATTAAAAAATAACTATTTTCAAAAACAAAAAATGTACATACTTTTGCAAATCTCTTTAATGTCTGACTTAATAAAAGTCTGCTAGATTATTATATTTGCTTCTGTATTCAGTGTTGCAATTTTTTTTGTTAAAATATATGAAGAAAATCTGGCCTCACACAGATATGTAGTCAGAGAAAGAAGTATTTGAATAAGCAGATAACATCTTAATATTATTAAGAAACTAGTTTTGACCAGGCAGACCCACTATAAGAGGCTCAGGATAGCCAGGATCACACTTTGAGACCTATTAGACTAAAAGATTGGTAAAGACCCTTCTCACTCTAAATCCTATGATCCAATCAACAAGGTTAACCTAAGGCTTTGTCCTTGTTGTTCAGTCACATCCAACTCTTTGGGACTCCATTTGACGTTCTCTTGGCAAAGATACTGGAGTGGTTTTCCCATTTCCTTCTCCAGCTCATTTTACAGATGGGGAAACTGAGGCAAACAGGGTGACATGACTTGCCTAGGGTCTTACAACTAGTAAGTGCCTGAGGCCAAATCTGAACTGAGATCTTCCTGACTCCAGGCCTGGCGCTATATCCACTGGACCACTTAGCTACCCTTATCTAAGATTAGCAAAGCTAGTCTATTTCTGAGCAACTGTAGGCCTCATGCTGAAAAAAATACAGTTACCAGTAATACTCTGCCACCTTCCTGGCCCTAGTGCTACTCCTTTGGATTAACCTATAGACCAATCAATGTGTTATTCAGAATATAAAATGTATTTACAGGAGAAATTTCATAAGAAAGTTGATCCATCACTTAACCATTTCATTCCTAATGTATTAAAAATATGATTTCTAATGTTTCCCATGTTTTGCCTGTTAAAAATAAAATACTGAGATTTCTAGAAATGACAGCCTCTAAGGTCCTTCCTGTCCTTAATGACGCTATGATAGCATAAGGGCAATGACATCATGATCACGAAAGTGGTGGCTATGGATGATTGATGATGACTGATGATGATTGGTGATGAAAAACTTGTAGATCTTGAAGGAAGATGTCCCCCAAAATGCACTGGGTCAAACCTCCATAAACAAACATAACAAGGGGAAGGGGGAGGGGAGGAAACAAGGATTTGTTAAGCACCTACTATGCACCAGGCACCGTGCTAGATGTAATTTGTGATTACAAATATCATCTCATTTGAGCCTTACAGCAACCTTGGGATATAAAGATTCTCCCTGCTTTACAGTTGAGAAAACTGAGGCAGACAGCGGTTAAGGGACTTGCCCAGAGTCACACAGCTAGTAAGTGTCTGAGGCTAGATTTAAACTCAGGTCTTCCTGACTCCAGGCCTAGTGCTCCCAGCTGCATCTAAGTGAGATACAAGTGAGATAGAACAATGGGATAAAATTAACAAGGGGGTTGACATAGTACCCTATGTTAAGGATGCTGGAATCACCTATAAATGATTCAAATACTGCTAACAATAATAACTCACACTTACCTGATGTATTAAGGCTTGTGAAGCATTTTCCTCCTAAAAGCCCTATGAGGCAAGCGCTGTGAGCATCATTATTCCCATTTTATAGGTGAGAAGACTGAGACTCAGAGACAACGAGCCCTTTGCCCATGGTCATGTAAGCTAGTGAGTGTTGCAGCTGGGATCCAAACCCAAGTCTCCTGATTCCAAGTGCAATGCATTCTCCACTGTATCATATGATTTATCGGAGTCAGAGACTGCTCTAACAAGGCAAAAGACACTGGGTACATAAGCAAGGAAGAATATTTTCTGGAAGGCAAGAAGACGGCTTGGGAGAAGGCTGCTCTAGCCTCTGGTTCATTAATTAATTTTGCAGAAACATTAGCATTTGAAATAGCTTAGGAATCATTGGGGTCCATTCCAAGATATTAGAAATGGGAAGTTAGGGTATGAAAATATTGCTAAAGTCTAATTTAAATAATGCCAAATGCCCCACAACACATAAATGAAGCAATGTAATGCATGTTCCCAAATTTGTTTTTAC